AAAATATCCCTTAGGCAGTTAGATTTATGTGATTGGAGTTCAGAGTAAAAGTCAGAGCTGTACACATAAATTTAGGAGTCACCGGCATGTAGGGCATCATTAAAGCTGTGAATTAGTTTGCCAGAGAATGAGAAGAAAAAGGGCAGAGGGTGCAATTTTGGGAAGCTCTAATATTCATGACATAAATAGAGAAAAGCTAAAAAGAAATGATCAAAGAAATAGGAGAATTAGAAGAGTTTACTGCCAATATTTCCATGGAAAAGATGTGATTTTTACTCTTAAGGCATTCCCAATATTCTTAGGTGAAATCATGTTCATTAATAAGGAATAGGAGGGTGAAGGGAGAGGGAAACTGATTTTATTTGACTTCACTCATTTCAATTTTCATTTCTTATGACAGTACTCATACCATATATCATAGAGGATTTTCATATTTACATCATAATTTGGGAGAGGCCTACCTCAAAAATTGTTTTGACATGAAAAGCCAGGAAATCTTATATGATATAAAAATACGCATGCTGGACTACTCTTTATATCATTAAAAGGGAAAAAAATAAGTAGTGTGTTTGCTGTCTGAAATTTAAATAGAAAATTGAGCAAATCAAAAATGATAATATTTGTCTTAGGTAATTTTTTTTTTTTTTTACCAGAGTCAGGTCAACTGGACTTTACAACCATCTAAGGGACACTTTTAGTACTTAAGCAGCTCAGTTCTGCTTCTTCAGAAATATACTTAGCCATCAACTGGAAAGCTACTCTCTAAAAATGTAGTAGTATGTGGAGAAATAATTCATAGACCTTTCCAATCCTTTCCATGTATACTATGTAATGAAGTTACTCTTCCTTGAAGGATCTTAGACTTCACACCAGAACACGGGCTATGAAATCAGCATCCACTGAATGATCAGGCCTCATAAAAGTCAGTGAGATGGTGTGGACATTTCCACCATCAGCACAGAGTTGAAGTTTTATAAGATTGTGGTAAAGATGCAGATGCGATTGCCCATCTTTACAGAAATAGAGCATGATAGAGAAAAAGGCACTTTGAGATGATGGTCACCTTTCCCCTCTGTGCCACATGGCAGTTTAACTAGCTGATTTCCCACTTGGCTCTTGAGCATTTCCAGTGAAGGTAGTTCTGAAGGCTGCCATGGTGATCAGTTCATTGGGGCGTATTTCTTTAAGGTCTAGTTAGTGGCAAAGGGACTTTCCCCTGGAATTTTTGGTCCATTGCCTTTCAATTCCATGGTCCTCTTTGCTTTCCTTATATAATTCAGTAATATCTTTATTCACATTGAGTCAGGTTATCACATTGACTTTGTGACCAAATGGAATGATATAAAATATGCTGTGTGCTCATAATGCATTGATTCATATTTCCCTAGTTTTCAATTCCACAATGAGATGCTTTGATTTATTATTTATTAGGGGAGTATAACAGGAAGAACTAGGAATTTTAACAATCTTTTAAAGCCTAGTACAAACATATTGGCATTATTGAAGGAATATTTAAATAGAAAATATTATACTGCTTCTAATTGCTTCCTCCAGATCATCCTGGAAACTCGGTGTCAACAATATAATTTAGCTGTTACTGACATATTGCCAACTAACTTTCCACTGCATGCTGCTTCATTTGTGTTAAATGTGTCTTAAATAATGGGCTAATGTGTACCCTTTTAAATAATATTTGCTTAAATGTCGGTTTACCTGTTTGTCTTTTTTTTAAAATATGTTTTTATTGATTTCAGAGAGGAAGAGAGAGGGAGAGAGAGAGAATTATCAATGTTAAGAGAGAATCATTCATCTGCTGCCTCCTGCATGCCCTCCACTGAGGATCAAGCCTACAATCTGGGCATATTTCAGGATGGGAATCAAACCATGACCTCCTGGTTCATAGGTCAATGCTCACTACAGAGCCACACCAGCTGGACTACCTGTTTGTCTTTTAAAGAAGAAATATTTTTATAGTGATTCTGAAAATACTTAGGAAGAAAATTTCTAATTGTGACTTGTGCTAATAGAGCTATTAACAAGGTCATCTAGGAAAAAAAAGAAGTTATTTTAAATTGTGGTTCCAGCTCTGTTTTTCATACAGTAATAAAAACTGCTAAATAAATATAAAGCTCTACAGCATATTCAGGGATAATTCTATATAATAAAAAGGTAATATGCAAATTGACCGTCACATCCTCACACAAAGATGGCCGCCCCCATGTAGGCACAAGATGGCCACCACAAGATGGCCAGCAAGGGAGGGTAGTTGTGGGTGACCAGGCCTGCAGGGGAGGGCAGTTGGGGGCGATTGGACTGGCAGGGGAGGGAAGTTGGGGGCAATTGGGCTGGCAGGCGAGCACTTAGGCGTCGATTAGGCTGGCAGGGGAGTGGTTAAGGGGCAATCAGGCAGGCAGGCAGGGGAGCAGTTGGGAGCCAGTAGTCCCGGATTGTGAGAGGGATGTCCAACTGCTGTCAGGGATTGGGCCTAAACTGGCAGTCAGACATCCCCTGAGGGGTTCCAGATTGGAGAGGGTGCAGGCTGAGCTGACAGATACCCCCCCCCCCCATGCACAAACTTTGTGCACCGGGTCTCTAGTAATTAAAATATTTATCAAACAGAGAGGTAAGGGTACTGCCCTGTGAGAATGGGCTCTGGCCTTGTGTCAGGAACAGGGCCCTGAGTGCTCCTTGTACAGGCGTTAACCCTTTAGGTGATGGGTTATTGATGAGTCAAGGTGCTAGGCTGGAGCCACAGCTGCAAGGGAGCATTGGAAGGCTTAGGAAAGCAGTCATAGAGCAGCCATATAACAATAGGTTAATACTGTAACAGCCAGTACTGCTGGGCCAGGACAGCATGGCTTATTTCAGCCCCATGTACATCCAAGATTGTAGGTGACATTTTTGTTGGGGATTTGTTGAAGACTGCAGTAGTATAAAATCACATCCCACTCTTCCAAGCTGTTTGTCTGTAAGTCTTCTGGGTATTTCCTAGAGGACTCAGAGTGGTGTCGCTGAGTTGGTGGATCTTGTCCATTGGACAGAACATGCCCTGAAATGCATGGGGTCATCTATATGGGTAAGAGCCAGTTCTTGTCTTGCTATTATATCCCCAGCACCTAGACTTTCTTGACAGATAATCTGTATATATAAAAGTGTATTATGCAAATTGACTGGACAGCAGAACGACCAGTCGGCTATGATGCACACTGACCACCAGGGGGCAGATACTCAATGAAGGAGCTGCCACCACTCCGCAGGCCCTGATCAGGCCAATCTCTCGGTCCCTGTCCCTGGCCAACAGGCTCTAATCACCCAATGGGGAACAGGGAACCTGGGGTGGGTGGCAGTGGATGCGGGTGGCACTAGGGCCCTGACCGCCCCACCGGTCACCCCCCACACAAAGGCAACCATGGTGGTGTTGGTGGTAGGGGGCAGGACTGGCTGCTGGCAGCTGAGGAAGATCGGCCCTGATTGCAGGCCAGGCCTAGGAACCGTACCTGTGCATAAATTTTGTGCACCACGCCTTTAGTCAGGAATGAATAAATGATTGGAGGTGAATATCAGGCTATTTTCGTATTCAGATTTGGTAAGGCTAACAGATTAGCAGACAGTTGCTATTGGAAATACAGTTTGTTAGTCACATTCTGCAGAGGAGAGGGTACATTTCTCCATGGAGGAGCCACACAGGGAAGCACCTGAGCTGGTCAGGAGGCGAGGGAGTGAGGAGGAAACATAGGCAAAAGCCTTTATTTAGGTTTCACTGGGAAAGAATAAGTGAGGCAGGGTAAACAGGCTTAGGATTGGCTAGTCTGAATAATTTCAGTGGCTCCAGGTGTAGGGGCTGTCTGGCACCCAGCATTGGAGTGATTAGGACCAAGGGGTAGTTATGATCCTCAGACAAGGTGATGGGGGTATGGACTTTGGACTGATTAGTAGGCAGATGAAAGGCATGCTCACAGTCTAGTCACCTACCATCTCTAGAAAGTGGGTAGCCCTGAAAGGGGCAGTCTCTTCAGGATCAATAGGGCCCCTGATATCAAAGCATGAGAAACAAAGAAAATTAAAAAAAAAAAGCATCATTAAGACACTGGTCACACTTGGGAAATGGTGCAAATATTCCTTTTATCCTTAAAAGTCTGATGTAGGCAAGCAGAGATGTTTTCTTTCTCTTTGCTTTCCACATTTCTTTTTAAACCTACAAGTACCTGTGTAAAAGTGTTTACTGGTAATAATTATAGCTAAGATGTATTAAACCCTTACTCTGTGTTTAGCATTAGCATAAGAACTTGACATGCATCAACCCAATTAGTGTCCACAACATCCCATGCAGAGCATATAGTTCATATTCTCATTGTGCACGTGAGGAAGTAGGAGCCTTGAGAAATGACATAACTTATCAAGGTCATATAGAGTGGCTGTGTGACACTCTCATTCTCTGTGCTGTTCTCTGTCTCCCATTCATTTTATTCCAGATATTTGCTTGTGTGTCTGTTGGTGCGGCTAGTTTCGACAGTGCAAAACGTTGGCCAGTTCTTCTCACCTGTGTGGTGCCATCAGAGAGCGGGCACCACATAAACCTTTGGGGGATCCGCGAGTAAAGCTTCCATTACCGTTCTCTTTAATTTTTGAGCAGCCTCATCAGCAGCTCGTTGTCTGGTGATGGTGAAGAAGCTGTTTTGGGGGAAGGAAGACCTCTTTTATGACTTCCTGCTCTTTACTTGACATTCTCTGAGAATGGGAACTTGGGAAGAAAGAAATGTGTGACTCTGCAAATAGTTATTTCTGCTTTGTGGCATTTGTGCCTTATTTAACCTGAGAGCTACACATGCTTGCTTTGTAGGACATGGCCTTTAGAAAGAAGTGTGTGAGATGTGTCCTTGGGAAACTGAAATGAATGTGCAGAATGTGTTTCAACCCAGGAATGCTAACGGGAGAGACAGAGCACCCACGCTTGTCATATGGCGACTTTCCTGATTGTCTGTTCTGCTTTGTCTTCCCAGCTTGTCACCAATCCTGTTTCGGGTGTGCAGGGCAGAGCCCGCACAACTGCACAGCCTGCTGGCCTTCCCATGTGCTGATGGAGGGGCAGTGCCTCTCCCAGTGCCCGGATGGGTACTTTAACCAGGAAGGCAGCTGTACAGGTGAGTGTGTGACATGCTAGAGTATATTCCCTGTACCTCTTCATAATGCAGCCAGACACTGTAATTAGAAACATTGTCATACCCATGGGACTAAGGGCTGGGTTGTAAGTCCCTATCTAGAACTCGTAGGAGTAAAGGGAACAAGAGAAATTCAGTTCTTCCAATAAGGAAGCATGGAGGATAAGGAAGTGACGAATTAGAACCACCTTACCCTGCGCATACAGTGAGGGGTGGGTGTGATGGCAGGCTCCAAGGCATCTGTGTAGGATTGGGCATTGGGCGTGACCTCTGCACTTCTCAGCCCCACTTCCCCTGGCTATAGCCTAATAAAGCAAAGGCAAGGGTGGTGGTGGTGGACATATGTAATACTCTCAGCAATAAAGAATTTTTAAAAATAAAATAAAGCAAAGGGAGAGGTATTTATTTTTTTCCTTGGCAGCTCTGTCCTATATGTGTTTTTTTGTTTGTTTGTTTGTTTTTAGAGAGACCGTCCCATATGTTTTTAAGAGCACTTTCATGTCTCAGTGACAGAGAGTCTAGAAATTACTAGTTGAGATTAGTGTGGGGATTTTATTGGAATTGACAAAATGCTAAAATGTAAGCACTTCATTGTTGCATTGTGTTTTCTTGTATCTACAGGGGGAAAAGAAGACTAAACACATTCTATCATGATGACTTTTATTTCTAATAATAGACTTGTTGACACCAGCTTATAGGAAAAAGCCCACTGTTATGAAATTGTATTACATGTATTTCTAGAGTCCGAAAGCATGTAGTAAATTTGTAAAATATTTTTAAGATAAATTAATGCTTGTTAGATTCCTCTAGCCTCAAACTCCAAAGAGGAAATTTAATGTGAACACCGATTTAGATGATTGAAGATCAATATGATATTTCTTCTGAAATTTTCTTCTTCCAAGTACCTTTTTAATCTCTCTGGGCCCCTGATGGGTTGCTTTCCTTTAAACTCTCTGTCATGCTCAGAGGGGAGTGTTTCTGGTTTGTCATTGGTGGTGTCCTTGAAAACCATTGTCTGTCCTGCACTTTCACACTAGCCCCGTGGTTTGTGTGTGTGAAGTGGTTTGGGTGTAAAGTCTGAGTAGCTCTGACTCCTCTCTGCCTGTGCCTCTGCCTGCTTGAAGCCAGTGGGTGAATGGTACCACAAGCGCCAGGGCCACCAGGTCACTGGAAATATTCTGGCGGGGAGGCAACTCGGCAGGTGGAAACCATCTTGAGAACATTAGTATCTCTGGGACGGGCGTTTCCAAAGTTCAGAGCCTCAGGAATGTAGAAGGGGTGCTGTTTACGCAAGCCTAATCAGCAGTTCATTTTCTTGCTTGCTTGAGAGTATATATATATAATCTGGAAACTGCCGGATATATATATATCCTTATCTTCTTTTGGTCTCTTGCCAGAAGAAGTGAGAAGCAGGTGATTTTATTTGAAATACATGCCTTTCCTTTTCACCAGCTCTGTGCCAGAAGGGAATTCTTTGTCTTCAGTTCCAGCAAGTGCTGCCCAGCTCCCCTCCTCTTGGAACCAGACATGCTGAGACCTCCTGGTCCTTGGCGGAGAGATCCTCACATCTCCTTCCCTGTGCTCACTCCTGCTGCTGCCTTGGCAGTGCACACGCAGCTGCAGCTGCAACCTGCTTTTATTCCTTGCCATCCTTATCTTTATTGCCCACACCTACTGATTCACTTGGTTTTCTTCCAGTGTAGCGCCTTTTGTGAATTTGGTGGTTTTTCTGGGGAAAACATAACTTTGGCATGATTTTGTCTAAGGAATTGAACTTCAAACACAGCTCATGATAACCTCCAGAAAGAGGGCTTTTTCTGTTCTCTGTACTTTAATGGAGTATTGCTACTAAAACAGGCATCCAAGTTGTGCCACCTGACTCTAGTGAGAAGGTTCAGTATCCACTGCAGTGGAAGGTTTCCCTTTTGCCTGTCAGGAGTTTGTGGGAAGCAAAGTCTCCCTCTTTTCTCTGCCTTGCTGCCTTTGAATCCGGATGTTTTGGGGTAGGGGAGTCATACCACTCACTTTTCTGTTTTGTCACTTTGATCTTCACTTCCTTATTTCCGTAGATGGGATGGTCATGCTGGCCCACTTGGAATGTGTGGCCAGTTACTTGAATTTTTATGGTTCTAGATTCCATGTTCTATTCATGGATGGCATTTTCATTGACTCCAAAAATGCATTCTCTTGGTCAGGCCTAAGGATACATCAGGCTTGATCAGGAATCTTCAAAAAATGAGTAGTGTTGCCTGAACAGTGTTGCTCAGTGATTGAGCATCGACCTATGAACCAGGAGGTCCCAGTCAGGGCACAAGCATAAGTTTCTGGCTTGATCCCCAGTAAGGGGCTGCAGGAGGCATCCAATCAATGATTATCATCATTGATGTTTCTCTCTCTCTCTCTCTCTCCTTCTCTCTGAAATTAGTAAAAAATATATTTAGAAAAAGAAAGAAAAGATGAGCAGTATTTGAGTTCTGTTCTGAATATAATTTGTGGAGTTCATGAAATATTTCATGTATTTACATGCTGGGCTGCTAATTCCCATCCTCATTCTTGTTTTTCCCCCTAGAATGCCACCCCACCTGCAGGCAGTGCCACGGCCCATCTGAATCTGACTGCATTTCCTGTCACCCTCATGTCACTATTAATGGTGGAAACTGCAGGACCAGCTGCAAGGAAGAGCAGTTCCTCAACCTCATGGGGTACTGTGCTGGTGAGTGATACCTCCTCAGAGTCTCAGAACCACTGCCAAAGGCTGGCGGTTCTTCATTCCAAGCTTTAAAAGCTCTTGTACCTGTTTATCAGCTGAGGAAGAGCTCTTTTCTCAGGAGACATTTATTTCACATCTGGGAACTCATTGCACTGCTTCCTATCAGACATTTAGTAAATAATAGTGGATTCAAATGGAATCTTCTAATAATACTCTTGCAATTTTTGAAAGAACTTAGAATCTCAGATGAATGAAGATTGGAGTCATGATAATATCATCTATGCACGTGGCACACTTTGGCTTACAATAGACGATGTATTTTCAACACAATCTCTCTGAAGACTGCCTCCCTCTTGTCTATACTATCTCCTGGCTCTTGCTATGGAGAACCTTTGCCATCAGCTCCAGCACCAAAATTTAGAGAAATTAACACAAAAGCAAATCAGTTGCCTCAGGAGTTGGGTTTATTCCTCCTCATTTAGAACCCAGATCTCAAAAAGAAATAAGTTAGGAGAGCAGCATGAAGTTTGGATAATGATGAAAGAGCCATTCGGTGTTTGTGGTCATCCATTCATTCATGTAGCAAATATCTTTGAAAGTCCATTAATGGCCAGATGCTCAGAATACAAAAAACTTTTTAAAAAATGCCAAATAAGACAACGACTCTGTTCCCAAAGAGCTAATAGTCTGGAAAAAGTAAATTATAGGCTAGTGGGTCATTATTTATTTCCTGACCCACTTTTCTCAATTTAGGAGAAATGTGACGAGATTTGCTTGTGCAGCTGTTGTTACAGCTCTGAAGGGCTTGCCTGAGAGGCAGTTTGGGATGCTACTGGGCAAGTGGGAAAGATGAGAAAGCAGGAATCAGGTTGGATGCATGCTAGAGGGATTGACTTGGCTGTAGGGCTTGTCCCTGGACAGTAGGAGGTATGGCTGAGTGTCTAGATTATATCGTGAACAGGCACATTGAGTCTGGGACAGCATTGATATTTCAGTTGTCAGGTTTGATGGTGAGGGCACAGTAAGTCAAGGGTAGTGCTTTAAGTATAGCTGATGGTGCCAGGGTCCTGGGGGCTCTTTCCTTTTTGCACCATGACCTTTGCTATAGACATGGGGGTCCAAAGTCTATATCCTAGAAAGACTGAACTGTGAAGAGCAAAGTTGCAACCAAAAATGCTGGAGTTCAAGGCAAAAACCAGTTGTTATATAAGTTCAGAGAAGAGAGAAGAAAAAGATATGGAAGGCATTGTGAAGGAGGTGGGACCTAAAATTCTTCCTGAAGAATAGCTAGGATTACATTAGACAAAGGGAAGGCAGGAGACAGGCACCGTGGAAGAGCATGTGGACTGTTTATGGCCAGTGAGATCCAACTTGGCTGAAGAACATGGTTTGTAGTAAGCATAATAGATGAAACAGTTGGGAAATTTAAGTTGGAACTGAAGTATAGGAAACCCAGAATTTTGGGCCAAAAAAATTAGATGGAATTTTGTGGGCAATACAGTCATGAGAGTTTTGGAGAGGTCAGTGACTTGACTAAAATGGTGTGTTATGGGCAGGAAACGTGCATGCTGTGTGGGAGTTAGACTGGAGCAAGGCAAGATGAGAGTCAGAGAGAGGCACTAGAAGGCAGGATCTTCATTATGCTTTTCTATTTCCAACCTATTCAGTGTGTGCACCTTGAAATTTTTATGCTGGGGAAATTTTAAAAATAAATGTTTATATAAGGAGATTGGAAACATTTAATTTTTAATGAGCTTTGTTTTCTCCAATGTTCAGAGCTCTCTTTGAGAGTAAATTAGGAGTACATTAATTTTTTAAGGTTAATAGGGGACCATTAGAATAAAGAATCATAGCCCTGACCAGCTTTGCTCAATGGTTGGAGCACCAGCCTGCAAACTAAAGGGTCTTGGGTTCGATTCCGGTCAAGGGCATGTACCTGGGTTGCAGATTCCCCATCCCCATTGGGGTCGTGTGGGAAGCAACCAATTGATATGGCTCTCTCACATCTGTTTCTCTCTCTTTCTCCCCCTGTCCCTGTCCCTTCCACTTTCTCTAAAATCAATGGGAAAAAAATACCCTCTAGAGAGGATTAAAAAAGACAGCCAACAATGAATAAAGAATCATGGGACTAGGCTATATGACTCTAGAAATACCTAACCCTAGAAGAGCAGGTCCCACTAAAATAGCTAGAAGAGACAAACCTTGACTGTCCTTGGCATTAGGCATATTGAATATTGGTTTTAAATAAGATAACCATTGTCCAGTGCTTGGATATCCTTTGTTGAATAGAGACAGGTGTATGAGTGTCTAGTATAGAAAAATTTGACCAGTAATTTCAATTGTTCATCCTTCAGAGAAGTGTATTGATTTCAAAGTTTACTTTTTCAATAAATATTTATCATTTCCAAACAACTCCCATTTCTCTCTGTAGCATTGTAATGCATTTGTTCATTTACTGCTTAATCAAATATTTATCAAGCACACACTTCATGCCAGGCACAGTGCTTGGCTCTAGGGATACAGAGATGGATAAGATATAATGCTTGTATTCAAGAAACATAGAGTGTAAGAAGGAGGGGGATGTGTGTTGAATGTGATATTGCTGTGGATATGAGATAAGCCTGTGGGACAGGACTCCAACTCAGACCAGAGTGTGTGTGTGTGTGTGTAGAGTAGATATAGAAAGCTTCCTAAAACATTTCATAACTGAGATCATTTTTAAATATTGAGAGGGGTTTGGAGATTTAGAAGGAAGAGCATCCCAGAAAATGGTCCAAAGAATATTATCTATTCAGGCACCAACAAAGAATTAAGTAGAATGCCAGCCCCTGGCATGGAAGTGGTGGAACTTGAAGCAGAAGGAAGCAGAACCAGGTCATGAGGCCATTGTGTTTTCTGTGTAAGGAGGACATAGTGCTCTTTGGAGCTGCCATTAAGTAAAATTAGCGTTGCTTGAACACAAGACACTGCAATACCACAACAGTCAATCTGATAACCCAGATGGCTACTAAGTCACGTTGGGGCAGGTAACATATAGAGCATGGATATGCTAGACAAAAGGATGGTTCACATTCCCAAAGGGACAGTGTGGAATGGGCGGGGCGGTGTTGGATGGCACAAGATTTCATCATGCTACTCAGAAAGTCATGCTCTTTAAAATTTATAAATTGTTTATTTCTGGATTTTTCCATTTAATATTTTTTCCCTGGTCTTCTGTGTGCTGGAAATGATTCATCGGACCACATGACTTTTTTCCAATGCTTGACTGTCCAATCCTTATGTTCCTGTGTGAATTGGAGACTTTTTATCTTGGTAACTGCAGACAGCAAAGGTGTTTGAGGCCCCTCTCCCCTTCCATATCCCATATGATACAGTGTATGGCTAATTTGCCTACAAACGTCTGTGGGACAGGACTCCAACTCAGACCAGAGTGTGTGTGTGTGTGTGTGTGTGTGTGTGTGTGTAGAGTAGATATAGAAAGCTTCCTAAAACATTTCATAACTGAGATCATTTTTAAATATTGAGAGGGGTTTGGAGATTTAGAAGGAAGAGCATCCCAGAAAATGGTCCAAAGAATATTATCTATTCAGGCACCAACAAAGAATTAAGTAGAATGCCAGCCCCTGGCATGGAAGTGGTGGAACTTGAAGCAGAAGGAAGCAGAACCAGGTCATGAGGCCATTGTGTTTTCTGTGTAAGGAGGACATACTTTGTTATCAAGGCTGTGGGATCTCTTGAAGATTTTAAAGAGATTATGAAGGCTGCTATTTTGTGGGCACAAATGGTCAAATAGTGACGATTTAATACAGTGCCTTCCCCCCTTATCTGTCTGGGAGGCATTCCAAGACCCCCAGTGGATTGTACCAAACAATCCATGGATAGTACTGATATATAAATTATATATATACACGTTGGGGCAGGTAACATATAGAGCATGGATATGCTAGACAAAAGGATGGTTCACATTCCCAAAGGGACAGTGTGGAATGGGCGGGGCGGTGTTGGATGGCACAAGATTTCATCATGCTACTCAGAAAGTCATGCTCTTTAAAATTTATAAATTGTTTATTTCTGGAATTTTCCATTTAATATTTTTGAACAGGAGTTGACCAACGGTGACTGAAACTATGGAAAGCAGAATTGTGGATAGGGGGAGCTTACTAGAGAAGCAAAAGAAATTACTGATCTCTTAACCCTGAGGGCAGAGGGAGAAGGAGTTTGGGGGTTGATTTCCCAATTTCTGATCAAGTAAATTCGAGGAATGAGAGTACCATCTACCAATGGCCAGCTTAGGAAGATAAGATGTTTGAATTTAGACATGTTGAATATGGGGTGACTATTCGACATCCAGGGAGAGCCATCCAGGAGGAGGTTGAAGACCCAAGTTAACAGGTGTTTTACTGGAACTACCAGGAGCTCATCTGCTATCTTTCTTTTACCCTGAACCTAATGTGCTGCAATGTTTCTTTCTTTTAACTGAAGTCTCGCTTTAGTCAAGTCAGAGTTGACCTCATGGAACATTTCAATGACTTTTATCTAAACTCAGGAACTTGTTAAGAAGAGCCTGGTGATGATCAACAGAGCAGAAGAAAATCCTCCCTAGGGAGTGCCATCCGGGGAATGTGTTTTCATCATTCTTGGGGAGTTCTGGCACAGTGAAGGCCCCGGGGAAGGGCCCTGTCTGTTCCCTCTATCATGTGTGAGATTTGCAGGGTGGTGGGATTTACTCACAGGATTTATATCTATCTGAGCTGTACCTGTGATCATCATCACAGACCTCTTAATTGCACTTGGCTGTTTAAAAAAGAAAATTACATCTAATCTATCACACAGACAAGAATAAACATATCCTGGGAACAGGTCCAATAACCTTAATGTGATTATCACATACAGAGATGTCATATGTGTGGGGATTTTTTTTCCCCTTTAAGTCTATCAAAGCAAATATACAGTTTGTGAGATTTAGACCAGGACTGAAGGTTTTCAATAGAGATAAATGCACT